AAAATATACAATATAAATTAAAAATGATTTGAATATACCTGCGGTAAAATTATTAAATTTAAAAAATGGCTAAGGAAAAAGTCAAAATTCAATTTAAGATCGTTCGATCTTTCTTAATTACATACAACAAATTAATTACATACAACAAATAAAATGAAAATGATGGTATGCATTTTTCTATTAAAATTCGCGAAAACAAAATTATAAATTTTAATACCTTCTAAACAGCTTGGTGGCGTAACAAACCGGTACTTTGAAAACGATTAAATGGTCTGTTTATAAAAATATCTGCTGCAACTTAAATTAAAACTACTAAATTTCAGTACAAATTAAAACATTTAATGTTTTTTCTTGTTCGGCATTTTAAAATATATGTGCGATAAAATATTCACAAGGTGATAAGTTATATTCATTGTTTTTGTTTTGCATTTTAAAATGTGCTATAAAATAAAGCTTAGCAAGTTGATTTTCAGTCAGCTTATAAGGTTAAAAAATTAATTCTACGAAAAATGTTATTTTGAATATCTATCAATAAAGTATTGGAATTTTATTTCAAATTTCAATTTTTTATACCAAAAATCAAATAGTACTAATCATTCATTTTTTATCTTCGTTTCACAAATTGTTAAGTTCGTAGACATTCAAATCATTACAAATTTTATTCAATCTATTGATTAGAGATCGAAAAATTATTTTAGCCTTCAGATCGTGAAACAAATTAAAATAACCAAAACTCCTTTCTTTTTCATATAACCCTTTGGTAGTTTTCAATCTTTAAAAAATAACGTACTTACCTTTTAAGGTCTTACAGCTGCTCTCCTTTTTCTTCAAATACAATTGTTTAAGTTCGATATAACTTATTATTTCTGTTTCTACAGCAGTAATTAGAAAAACAAGGTAAAGCTAGTTCAATAAAAATTTTGAAAATCAATTATTAAATTAACAATTCAGCTAAGAACTATTATTTTATTTCATGGCCCAAAAAGTCGAACTTCTCATAAAATATTTATTACTCTAAAATTTCTTTCAAATTCAAATAATGATTTTAAAATAAAACTATTTTTAAAATTAAAATAATTATTTCAAAATAAAACTTTTTTTATTTTTAAATAAAACTAATTTATTTTTAAATAAAACTAATTTTTTAAAATAAAAACTAATTTTTTTAAAATAAAAAATTTAAAATACTTACATATTTTTAAATGAAGTAGGATTTTCTTCTACTTAAAATTAGTTCTATCTGACCCCTAGTTTACCTTATTTTCAATTTTTTTTTCTTTTCTATTTAAAAAACTTACCTTATAAGCGGCCTCTCAAATGCTTTTCAAAGTAATTTCTTTAAAAATAAACGAACGCTTTGGTTATTTTTTAGTAACTAGCTGAATTTTTTTAAAATATGCCACCTATGTAGGTACTTTTGATTTAAATATCCAAAACATTCGCCATTATTAAGTGACAAGATGAAATATTTTTATTTACATGAAATTAAATATTTAATTTATTTTACATAATTCCTCGTTTAAAAATAACCTTGTTCAGAAGTTAATTAAGCAATTTAATTAGAATTAATTATATTTCATCCATCACAATTAAAAAATAAAACACTATTTTATTCCTTTTTTGTATTTTTTCAGTTATAGTTAACCTCCCACTAAAATGTAATTCTAAATTTTCATTAATAGGATTGTTTTCTACAAAAATGAAACAAGTTCCAAAATAATATCTCAAAATTTAAATAAACAAAGTACGTCTATAGTGAGAGGTTAACAATTTATATTAAAAGGTAAATAAAAGAATATAATTTCATAAAAAAATTTATTAATTGTAGATGGTCTTTAATCTTGTGAAATGAAGTTGACTTCTTTAAATTATTCAGAATTCTTCTTCCATTGGAAACTTCGTCTTAATTCTGTGAGGAACGGAAGGGAACTCTTCTTATCCAACGCAGCGGTTTTCTCCTTGATCACGGTCTTGGACAGATCTTCAGGCCTTGCATTAAAACTCGATATCCCACCCCATATGAATGTTTTTTTGATCCCAAATTTATTTATTTAAAATATTACAATTTGTTACAAATAAAAAATATAAAATCGGAAGACATACAATCTAAAAATTTTTAAATAATTTTACTCAATTATTTTGCTTTCAAAATTTGGCCAAACCTCAAATAAAACATATTCCCTTATTGTTCGGTAATTACAACCAGTCCGGCAACGTCGCAAACGAAACTACCGTAACACATCCGCATACTCACGGAAATTCAAACCAATCCGGCAACACCGCAATATAAATTTGTTCATGTCTCCCTAAACGATTATAAATGCCATAATTGCCCTAGCCGCATAGTAAAAAATTTGTTCGTAGTTTATGCAAACCAGAAGAAATTTAGGTCATTCTGGCAACATCGTAATTTAAACTCCTACATAACACTTGAAGATAAGGAAATAAGAAAACATAGCAACGTTGCAATTCGAACTCGTACGTAACCATCCGTACCCAAAAGGAAAGTTAAGACAACCTGGCAACGTCGCAAATCTAACTATTACGTAACCTCCCCTAAACTCAATGAAATTTAAGCCAATCCGGCAACGTCGCAAATACACTCGCATGTAGCTTACGGTAAAGCAGCTAATTTGGCAGTCGCAAATCTCTCAAACCTGAACAAATATACATCAGTCTGACAACACCGGAGTCTGTGTATCGTGGAACTCGGCGCTGATAACTCAATATAGGCAACAATGTATACGCTACCAAACTAACGAAGCTAACTTCGGCATCGTCGCAAAAACAGCATTGCTCATTCGTCTCAACACAATTAAAGTCGTTCAATGGCAACATTGTTAAGTAAATTCTGTCTCGCCATTAACACCGCACTCACTTTAAAATCGATTTCAGTTGCGATACACAATCGCCACAAGGTTCGTGGGCTATAAATAACTACGTCATTTTTCATCAGAGGCGCGCTCTGTTTCTTGTACTCAACGGACATTTTCAGGCACACAGCCATTCATTTTAATTTGTTGAACTATTTTTTCATGAACTAAACAACTTTTCACTTAATTTTCAATAACACTAAAAGGTTAAAAACTGATCTAAAATCTTGACAAGTTTAAAATTGGCACAATTTTTTAGGCTTTTCAGGTACACAGCTATTCATTTTAATTTGTTGAACTATTTTTCATCAACTGAACAAGTTTTCACTTAATTTTCAAAAACACTAAACGGACACAAACTAGTCTAAAATCTTGATAAATTTAAAAGTTTAAAAATATCAAAAAAAAATTTAGGCTTTCGAGTTACAATCACAATTTTTAAAATTACTGCCTTGAGTTTACCATCACAATTTTTGAAGTTATTATCACATTTTTTCTCATTTGCATTGGCACACAGCCATCTCTCTAATCACACATTTTTAATTAAAAAACTATTTTTGTAATAATAGCTGATGCTACTATCACAAATTCACAAAATTTTAGACGACTTTTTTTTCAAAACAAATGAATTGAAAATAAAATCCCAAAATGGGCGGGCTTATTGATAGTTCCAAAACAAAATTGTTTTGAAACTAAAATTTTTCAATACAAAATTGCACTGAAAATATTTAAAATTTTTAATTTTGCCAAAAATTGTTGACAAAATCTTTACAGACAGAACAAAATATAAAAGTAAAAGACTCAAATTAGCATGCTTCAAATAAATTTAAATTATTTTTCTTTTTTAAACTGAGGACTTGTGGTTTTAAAACAAATAAAACGAAATTTAGTTGAAGCTAGCTCAAAAAAAAACAAAATGAAAATACATAAAATGGTACCGACAACAAATTTTATAAATGAAAATATTTTTATAAAAATAATTAAGTTGAAACATTTTGAATACTGATACTGAATAAAAGATTATCCAGGGTATTAAAAATAGAAAAAATACATCTCAAAGGGATTGAATACTCAAAATAACCAAAAATTATAATGTTGCAAAAAGTAGTTGCAAACAATATAACCCAGTCATTGCAATATTTAAAACCTTAGAAAATGTACATATTCAAAGTAGATCCAATGTCAAAAAATTGTACATCAATAAAAAAAACAGGTAATTATTTTTTTTTTAACAAATTTTGATATCCAATGAATTGTTCTGTTGCTAAATGTAAGATACCAATTCAAAAAATGTTAAAGTAGTAACATTTTTAAAAGTATTTACAGCAACAAAAAAAAATCACGAGCATATCAATATTTTTAAGGAAAAATTTTGATTCAAAAATGTTCTTGCCATCAAAGATTCCTCAAAAAATATTGAGGAATCTTTTAAGGCTTTTGAAGACAACTTTTGGCTACCAAAAAATTTAACAGTTTTCGAAATGTTCTTTTTAAAGTGATGAAAAAGAAGCAAAAGGCGCCGCTTTTTCCAAAAATAAAAGAACGGAAAGGAAAACCGCCTTCCTTGGTAAACAAAAAAAATGTACAAGATGAACATTTTCAAAACAAACACTTTTCCAATGTTAAAAATAGTGTAATATTAAAATTCAAAGTAAGAAAGGGGACAAAGGACCCTATTCAACACCTAAGTTAATCCTTGACATTTGTTGTCGGTATGAAAAACTGTGTCTGAATGTACATTTTTTCAGAATAAATTAATACAATTTGACTGTTTAATAAATAAAAGTAAAAACAAAAATAATAAAAATTACTGGTTTTGCCAATATCAAAAAGAAAAATATAAGCGTTGAAGTTAAATAACGACCTAACACAATTTAAAATAATAAAAATCAAAATTAAATTTAAAAAAAAAATTTAATATTTTTTTTTTGTAACTACGACCTAACAATTTAAAATAATAAAAACCAAAATTAACTTTTAAAAAAATTATTTTTTTCAATATTTTTTTTTATAACTAAGTCAATAAACAAAACTAACTCAAAACATAAATTGACGAAACCAGCAGAAATCTTGTACATTCAGACGAAAAAGGGATACAATTTGGTGTAAAATAAAACAAGTACTCACGGTGCTTCGACGCCGTCTTTGCCAACACCAGAAGGTCCTGGTTGATCATCAGCACTCGTTGATGGTACATCAACGAACGCGGGTTCATGGTCGTCGTCATTATCACTATCATCACTGTCATCCTCAATCTGTAACAAAACCAGAGAATATCGTATAATTTTTGTTTTCAAAACGGCTGCGATCTTTTAATAAATTTAATTGACATTGGGGTCTATTCTGTAACAATTCCTTTATATTTAACGGCATTTAAAAATATTGGTGGCATTTAAAAATATTGGTGGCCTTAAAAATATTGGCGGCCTTAAAAATATTTTCCGATTCGTTAATTTACTGCTGTCATTATTTAAACAGATTTCTTTTAGATAGTCCTCTAATGTATTTTAAAGATCCGTTTAAATGACATAAGTAAAGAAAAAAATATTTTAAAAGGCCGTTAAATATAAAGGAATTGTTACAGAATAGACCCCATAAGGAGTTAAAGGAACAAAAAACCGAATGATAGGGGAGCTAGTGACATTTGCACAAGGCTAATTTATTAATTTATCATTCATTATTGTCTTGTAAAAGATGGCAATACTTTACTGCAAGCGCAGCAGTGGTGGAGCGCTCGACGACGATGTCTTAAAAAGGTCGTTGTAGGAAATACAAATATCATATATTTGATTAGATAATCGACTTGACATAAGCTTTCGTGGCTCAGTTTTATTTTGAAAAAAATACAACTATTGCGGTTTATTTATTTTAAATACATTTTAACTCCTACAGTTAGTTAAGCAATCTATAAACTTTTATGAAAATTATTTTGTACTATTTTGATAAGTACAGAATAGTAAAAAATAATCAGTGAAAAGATTATTTCCTAACTGTAGGGATTATATTGTGATAAATAAAATGTTTTTAAAATAAACAAAAATAGTGGTATTTTTACATTTTTTCCAAAATAAAAAATACTTTTATCGGGAATTGAACCCAGATCGCAAACTCGAAAGTTAAGCAATCTAACGACCTGGGCTATGAAGGCTTATGTCAAGTTAATTATCTAATCAAATATTTAATGTAACATTAGCATTGTCTAACACGGCTTTTTTAAGACTTCTTAGTCAAGCTCTCCATCACTGCAGGGATTGCATTAAAGTATTTCTATGTTCTACGAGGTAAGAATAAAAAAAATTGTCATTCGTAAATAACAAAACTAAAAGTGTCACTGGTTCCCCCACCAGTACTTCTCGGTTTCTTCTTCAAGGAAAGTGTATAATTTTGAGCAAAATATATTTTTTTTAAATATACCAATTATAAATTGTTAAAAAATGTTTAAACTTGACCCTGCAGTAAACATTAAAAAGTTAAAATTTTAAAATTAAAAGAAAAACTATTTATAAAAAAACACCTTAAAACTATCTTTCCTATTAATTTTTTTTTTTTTTTAAATTGAGTTTTTAAATCATTGGTTTTGAGTTGAAACATAAATGACAGTTTTATATCATATTCAAAAAAATTATGCTCCTCGTTTTTTTTTTTTTAATCAAGGTGCTCTGATAGCATCAAGAAAAGCCAGCAGACCAATTTGATTTTTTTTTAACAAACACCATATTTTTAGGCTCTTCAAATAACACTTTTTTAAAAATTGTCTTTTTTAAATATACACGTTGCTTTGCTAGCATCGAAAAAGGCCAGTATTATTTTTTTTTAACAACTGCCACTTTTTAAGGCTCTAAAAATGACACGTTTCGAAAAAAAAATGCTATTTTTAAAATGTCTAGCACTTCCGTTTCTTAAAGGTTTTCTTTAAAAACCAACTATATTTTTAGATTATTATTAGGCTCCCGAAATATAAAACTTTTCGTAAAAAATTCTATATTTAAAAAACCGAGAAGCTCTGCTAGCTTATTCTAAGCTACCAAAGCAAAGCATCCCATAATTTAAAAAAAAAAATTAAGTTTTACAGTATTTCAAGGGCCTAAAAAGAATGTTTTTATGAGAAACGAGGACCCATTATTTTTTAAAAGCATTTTCAAGACTAAAAACACCCGAGGTGTTCTGCTAGCTTCGAACGAAACAAAGCACTTTGATTTTTGTAAAAAACAAGCATACATTTTTTGAATAGAATAGACTAAAAATAGCCTTAAGGAGGTCCTTTCGCCACCAATGTTAAATAAAAAATATTAGATTATGACTAAAATTAATTTTTTTCTAATAGTAGATATCCTTATTTATCTAATAGTGAACTTTTAACTATAGCTTACCGTGCAAATTTTTGAGAATTTTTTTTTAAAAATGTGTGTGTTTTTACAGTGTCTTATGAGAAAGTAAGACTTCAACAACAATTTTCGAATTATAATTAATTTTACTATTATTTATTGATTAGATGGAGTAGAAAAAAAACTAAAAATAAGGTTTTTGAAATATTTAGGTTTTGTTTTTTACAATAAAATATATAGGTTACCGTGGAATTTATTATTAAAAAATTACAAAAAAATTTCAACTAGGTTACTTGAAAATTTTTTGTGATTTTTTAATATTAATTTCTCAATAAGTTCCACGGTTTACTATATATATTTTATTGTATAAAACAAAAGCTAAATATTTCAAAAACCTTATTTTTAGTTTTTTTCTACTCCATCTAATCAATAAATAATAGTATAATTCGAGAATTGTTGTTGAGGACTTATTTTCTCGTGAGGCACTGTACAAATACTCACATTTAAAAAAAAAAATTCTCAAAAATTTGCAAGGTAAGGTATAGTTAAAAGTTCAGTATTAGATAAATAATTAATTTTAATCATAATCTAATAACTTTTTTTTAACATTTGAGGCGAGAGGTGTGGCGAAAGGACCTCCTTAAAATTGCTTAAAAATATGGCATTTCAACTCAAAATTCCCTAGGTACTCTTGCCTTTCTTTGGCACCTATAATTTTAAGCAAAACATTTTTTTTATATTTAATATACTCCTAACTGGACATTTATTAGTTTAAATGAACAAAAAAATATACTTTTAGTTTTTGCTCATAGGCAGTTTAATTTTGAGCTGAATTTTTTTTATATTTACAGTGTTCCTTAAAGTTGGTTCCATATGGGAACTTTTTAACATTACGATTGGAAAAAAAGTCGTAGGGCACTTAACTCTTGCTTATTTTTAAACTTAAAATAACCCATATTAAAGTTGGCTGGCTACTCACCTTAATTTTTTGATAAATCGTATTAAATTTTTTTTAACGATATGTCAAAAAATACTGAATTTGACAGACAGCTAACGTAGTACCCAGCCAACTTTAATATGGGCTATTTTAACAGACGTATGCATAGTCGATCGCCAGAGATTCATTTCGGCGTATCGACCAGCGATTCGCTGGCGAAAGCTCAAAAAGCTGGCGATTCGCTGGCGAAAGCTCAAAAAGCTGGCGACTCGCCGGAGATTGTCACCGGAATGTCATTTCACGCAAGTTTTCATGTTCTTTTATAGGGAAAAATTTGATATTCGTTCATTATTTTTTGAGTTTTAAGAAATGAATCATGAATAAAATGCGAGAGATACCGGTGATAATCCCTATAAAAGAAAATAAAAACTTGCGTGAAATGACATTCCGGTGACAATCTCCGGCGAGTCGCCAGCTTTTTGGGCCTTCGCCGGCAGATCGCCAGCGAATAGCTGGCGATACGCCGAAATGAATCTCTGGCGAGTTGTTGGCGATCGACTATGCATACGACTGTCAGTTTTTAACTACGTTTTTTCCAATCGTAATGTTAAAAAAATGCCCACATGGATCAAACATAGAACACAACTGTTTATACAGTGTTCCATTAAAAATGGGACACAGAATAACTGAAGATTCTATGATTAAAAATAAAACGATTAAACGAAACATGCTTAGGTAAAAAGCTTCCGAAATTAAAGTTGAAAATTCAAAAATTATTAATGGCTTAACTTTTTTATTGCTCAAAGTTTTACTAATTTCGGAAAACGTGTTTGGTACCGAAAAAAATCAGTTAAATAAACTCTGCCAGTGGCGTACGGCATGGGCAAGTAACACCTTCATCCCTTCTAAATTTTACGCCACTGTCCAAAAACTTATTTGGACTATAATTTTAAATGTTTTGATGTTTTTTACATAAATGATGTACTCTTGTTGGAAATTTAAAGTTATTGGTTTTCGATATATTTCAACACAAAGGTGGATGCTATTTATTTTGATTTTTTTTTTTATAAATTTTCAACAAGAGTACATAACTTAGTTGAGAAAAATTAAAATTATAATCAAAATAAGTTTTTGGACAGTGGCATAAAATTTAGAAAGAATGAGTGTTATTTATGCATGCTGTACGTCACTAGCAAAGTTCATTTAACTTATTTTGTTGCTGATAGGTGTATCTTATGACATCAAAAATATTTACCTAATTTAGCAAAATTATACTATAATAAAAAAATATAGCTATTTAATTTTTTTTGCTAAATTTCAACTTAAACACCCTGTATTTCGGAAAGAGTAACGTTTTACCTAAGCATGTTTCTTTTATCATCTTAGTTTTAATCAGAGTATTTTCAGTTGTTCTATTCTTAATGTATAAAATATAGAGTAATCTTAAATTGTTGCAAAAAAGTATTATTTTTGTATTGTGTTCTAATACTATTTTCGTAATATTTTTTTATTTTGAAAAAGTATGTATTTTTAAAAACAAAAGTCATTGATTTAAAGGAACAAAAACTTAGGTTTCTCTACAATTTTGAACATTTTTTTTTTTTTTAATTAACTATACTAAAAATTTTTAATTTTGTTGTAAAATAATGATAAAACTGGAGTTAATGATACCTAGATGTTGGTTAAAATTAGAAACGACACAATCTCTGTAGAAAACCAATTTAAAACACTAAAAGGTATTATTTTTGTATTGTATTGAAGTTTTTAAAATGATGCATTTTTATGAACAAAATTTTGTGTTTATTCATTAGCTTAAAAACAATGAATTGTTTTTGGTTTATTCTTAGAGCTGTATAATTTTGACAAAATATTTTTTATAATAAAGATACTGTAATTTTAAATAAAAAAATATATAGGTTAAAACTCAACTTTATGGTTCCTACACTTTAATATTAAATATATGTAAAAAAACTTAAAATAAAAGTATCATAATTTTTGTAGTTGCCTAATAATTTGGAAAAAAAAATGTTTTCAAGTTTCTAAAAATTATATATTTTTAAGCATAAAATTATGTTTTTACCTTAGTCATTGGTTCCCCTGAGTCATCATCGTCGCTATCCTGGTCCATTGCTATTGCAGCTTTAACAGCAGCAGTTCGGCGTGCCCTTTTTGGGGGCGGTTCGTCAACATTGTTTTTAGATTTCTGTAACAAAAATTAATAAATTGTATATAACAATAACAAAATATATATAATATAGATTATTGGGGAAATTGTATTATTTTTAATTCTCACCTCCTCCTGTTGTTTCTCCTTATATACATAATCCTTATCGTCATCGTCGGAATGGATATCTGGAGGATCTATTGTTTCTTGTTTGACGAATGTATCTGCAGGCTTGATTTGTTGTGCCACGGCTGATATAGTGCCATCGGCCATTTGAGATGTCATGCCCGCCTCTCCCAACCATGTTAATAACTGTTTTTCCGCATTCGCACTTGTATTCCAAAATTCATACAACATATCTAACTTATAGGAACATCCATCACATATTTTTTTAGGCAGTTGGTCATCCCGGGATACCTGTAAGAAAAATGTAAATTTAAAAAATATATTCCTTCATATTATTTTCAACTCAAACTATGTATTTAAGTAATGGTTCCTTTTTAAGGATTGGGTGAGTTGGATTAACTTTTATATGTGTGAGCTGATAGAAGAGGCAACCAATATATATACAAGGAATGGAAATAAAAAAGTATTTTTAAAGTGTGTAATGGTGTGAAATAAATTAATAAATTTGTCCCTCCTTTAACAAAATTTTTAATATACTGCTTTCGGCGTTAAGCAATCATCAGGATAGTAAAGAAAGATTAACTTTTTTGTAAAAATACAGATGTTGACCCCAATGTAAGTCAGCAGATACAAACAGCTTCAGTCAATTAACTGATGTTTGGCGGTTTTGGCCCCAAATTTATATTTGGTGGTTATATCAAATAAAGTTTTATATATCGGTAACTCTGTCCTAGAGCACAAATTGGCCACAAAAAAAATCGACATTTTTCTCTAAGAAATTGTAGTGACGGGACGTATAAAATGACACTGACTGGCAAGATCATGCCAGCCTAGAGAATATAATTATTTAGCATTACTTTTTATAGTTTTCATAGAAGATTTGATCAAATTTAGCCAGAAAATTTATATTTAAAGTTTTAAGAATATTAATTAGTTGAGTTACAATGACTGTTTTTTAAACTATTGTGATGATGCTTAAAATTTGAATTTACGCGCCAAAATTTATGAAAACTTTAAAAAGTAATGCTAGATTATGTCTAAGCTTATGGTTAGAAAGGCGTCGACAATCAATTATGGTCATGTCACAGGTACAATTTTTTAAGAGAAAAAAATGCTGAATAATTTTTTGTGGTCAATTTGTGCTCTTGACGAGGGTCACTGACAGTAACTTTATTTGGCATAGCCACCAAATATAAAATTGGCGCTAAACGGCGGTAGAACAACTAGAGTTGTTTGTTCCTGCCAGTTTGCTTTGGGTCAGCAACTGAATTTTTCCAGGCCTAAACAATTTTTTTTTTTTTGAAAACAGGTGGCTAAATATAAATAACAAGAGAGGACAAATTTAACCTAACCTATTCTATTTCATTGACTTGAAAGAAGTGTGACAGTTGAGCATAATTTTCCTGATTATGACTCAATGCCGAAAGCTATACTCAAAATTTTAATAAAGTAATTAGAAATGCATTAATGTATTTCTCCATCATTACACACTTTAAAAATAAGTTTTCTCTCCATCCTCTTGAAACAAATCTATAGTTGAGACAAGCATCAAAGAAGAATCGCTTTTAAATTAACATCCAAAAAAGAAAAAGACTAGGGGTTGGAGAGTTAACAAATTTTAACTGAGCATGCATGTTAATGGCCGAAAAGAAGAGGTATTTAGTGAGATTGTAGTCGTTAAATGGCCAGATGGCATCAAAAGTGTAAATGGAACAGTATTCGAGATTAGTCTCATTTTTTACATTATACAGGACCTAGAGGTTATATGGAAGAAATATTTCCTTGGTAGCTGGAAATTTGTTTGCGTTTGCTTGAAATGACTATGCAAAAATATGACAACTATATGGATGTAACAGAAATTAGTATTTGAGTTGAGGATTATTAAACTACTCACAAATAAAAAACAAAACTAATTTTTTTATATGTATAAAATATGATATTGCTTATAACACTAGCAAAAAAAATGTTTATACATAATTCAGGGTGCTTGGGAACCAACTTTAAATGAAAAGTTTATTTACTAGATTTTTTTTCAGTCAAAGTATTTCTGAAGGGCTATAGATTGGCGCAATATATTTTTTAAAATCGGTTCCAGCAGCCGTTTTTGAGAAAACTCGATTTTTCATGAAAAAGTGACCTTTTTTACTTTTTTGCTTGTAACTTGAGCATTTTAGATTTTCTCGGCTTGCCAAAAGTAAATTTCAATGGGAAAATGTCCGCTCTACAAAAAAGCATTAATGACTTTTTTCTCTAAAATCAGCCGATTTGAGATCTCATTTAACTCAAAATCGGCTGATTTTAGAGAAAAAATTCATTGATGCTTTTTTGTAGAGCGGACATTTTCCCAATGAAATTTACTTTTGACAAGCCGAGAAAATGTAAAATGCGCAAGTTACAAGCAAAAAAGTAAAAAAAAAGGTCACTTTTTTATTAAAAATAGAGTTTTCTCAAAAACGGCTGCTGAAACCGATTTTAAAAAATATATTGCGCCAATCTATAGCCCTTCAGAAATACTTTGACCGAAAAAAAAGTCTAGTAAATAAACTTTTCATTTAAAGTTGGTTCCCAAGCACAGTGAATTCCCTATCATCTTTATCAAATTGTAGGTATTCTACCTACTATAAGACCTGTTATTTTTAATGAAATTGATTAAAATGAAATGCAAAATCATTATTTAAAAAAAAATGTACGGAGAATCGGGCTACAGAATATTTTATGAACTAAAAAATTCTGCGAAAAACCCTGTTAATTTATTTAAGCCCAATAGAAAATAACTAAAATCATAATGTAATTAAAGTTATCAAGCAAAATGGGCTAACTTAAGTCTAATAAATAAAACAAATTGATTAAATTTATGTAAACAAACGTCAGTCAACATATTTGTATGATAAATTCATTTGGTATATTAAAAAAAACTATACAACGCAAAACGGCGTCGGTTCTACGCCACTGAAAAACTCATGAAACGACTGTACAGGCTGTACCGGCCATAAAAAGTTACACAAGCTTGTTCGATAAAGAGCGGCATTAAAACGGGTCAAGAATGATTGTACTAAAGGAAGATGGCGGATCTTCTACGTAACTTATAAATAAAAAAAAAATTAAATGAAATATAATGAAACTACTAACATCATTTTGTTTCTATCAGTGATTAAATGCCTACCTATGATACACAAGTTTAAAATAAATACTGAATTGTTAAAAAAAATTATTGCCAAAGCTTTATTTTAAAAATTGTTTGCTTTTTGTTTACAAAGCAGCAAAATAAACAAGATGCTCATTCTTTGTTTAGAAATTTTAAATATATCGAACAAATTAGAAAAAATCGAAGGCCATTTCCAGGCGGCTTTGCCCTCCCAAACACAGCTCCACCCTGTACGCCTATTGATTTTTTTACACCATCCGCCAACTCCCAAAATTTAAATTCAAGTAAAATGAATAATAAAATTGAAAGTCCAAAAAATTATTGTATCAAAAGTTACCTAGTAATCAATCCATGGCGTCAAGCCAACGCCTAAATATAAATAAATGTTTGTCTTCAAAACAGAAATGAAATTATGAAATATTTTTGCGCTTAACATTTGTTGAGCAGTTTATTATCAAAATATAGCCCGGTAAAAGGCGGAAAATAATGTCAAACCCGCAAAATCTGTCGAATATCAAATACATAAAACCAAACAGCAATATGGCGGGTGACGCCAACTTACCTTCACCGGTAGACACGAACTAATTTTCAGGAATATTTGCCTAATATCACCTTGTTCCTCGAAAATTGGTATATTAACATCGTCCTTAACTAAACACAGTCTACATAATTGTAACATATTACTATTATTATCCATTTTTACTTATTTTATTTAAAAAAGTCATTGGAGCTCACTCACAACACTGGCACAAGCTCAACGCTTGATGACGAAATGGGAAGAGGACGGAAGTAGGAAGTTGCGTTCTAAACATGGCGACCGGTTGTTAGGTGGGGAGTTTCCTGTTTACGGTCGTATTTTTTGAGCGAAAATTTGAATTTATGGAAACAAAGAAAGTTACAAGTTTGAAAAATATTTGAAAGTACTTTATTATGTTTGGGTTTAGTGGATCAAAAACAACAACCTAAATCTTGTATATCGCAATGTTATTGAATCGTTTAGCGAATTTTGGCTAGGTAGGTATTATCAATCATTATAATTAGAGATAAATACCAAGGTACCTACCTAATTAGCGAATCTAAGTAGGTAGTTGGATCGCTTGTTCTCTATCAAATCATTGAGTGCTTGTTCCAAGTAGTCGCACTGGAATGGGTATATTGATTTATTATTTGTTAGTATATTATAATACCTATCAGATCAAAGGGCATTTTGCATTTATCAATAGCATTTTGTTATAAAATACATTTTGCTAATACACATCCCTAATGTTATTTTTTACCAATAAATACATGTAAAATACCCAATAGTCATAAAAAAATGACTTTAACTAATTGCAATTGTATTTAATTTCTGTTCGTTTAATATTAGATATCCATTACAACTCTTAACATTGAAACTAGTACTTATGCAACATCTAATACATCTCGTTGATTTTTGTGCTGCCTATAAGTTTATGTTTTGACCGTGGTTTTGACAATAGTAAACATAACCTATGTTTTCTAGAAGTCTGTTTTTAACTCATGTTTATAAAAACGTGATAAAAATGAGCGTATTTGTACAAAAAATAAACCCAATTACGGGGGCAAACGACTGGGTGGTACAAAATGAGGACTACGACTTCCACCAAGAAGTAGCCAGGTCCGCTTTTGCAGATATGTTACATGACTCTGAAAGAAACCAACTGTATGAACAGGCTTTAAGAGCAGCCATAAATAAAAAACACGCCGAAGGTAAAAAAGCAAATGTCTTAGATATTGGAACCGGCACAGGGTTGTTATCTATGATGGCAGTAAGAAATGGAGCAGACTCTGTAACTGCTTGTGAAGCTTTTAAGCCAATGAGCGAATGTGCTTTGAAAATAATCGCTTTAAATGGTTTTGAAGGTAAAATTAAGGTAATACCAAAGAGGTCTACTGATATAAATGTTGGTGAACAAGGTGATATGAGAGAGCGCTGTAATATACTAGTAACGGAAGTATTTGATACGGAATTAATAGGTGAAGGTGCTCTATCAACCTTCCAGCATGCCCATAAGTATTTGTTGGAAAAAGATTCCATAGTTGTACCCGAATCTGCAACTATTTTTGCCCAAGTAGTTGAATGTCCTTTAGTTCAAAATTGGAACAAACTAAAAGATATATTTAATGATGATCTAGAGCTGCTATTGAAAGTGCCCGATTCTATTCAAAATTGTGCAGGTTCAGCTGCTGTACATGATGTTCAGTTAAGCCAGTTATCTTACAATTCCTTTAATACGATTGCATCTCCAATTCCAGTACTTAGATTTGATTGGTCAGGACAGACACCATTTATTTTTGAGAGATCTACAATAAATACTATAAAAGCTGAATGTGATGGTAAAGCTCAAGCTGTTTTTATGTGGTGGGAGTTGCAAATGGATACAGAAAACAAAATTGTATTGAGTTGTGCTCCAGTTTGGGCCCATCCATGGACTAAATTGAAGGGCGATGTTGAAATACCTTGGAGAGACCATTGGATGCAAGCTATTTATTATTTCCCAAATGATATAAATGTTAAAAAAGGACAAGAAGTGAATTTAATCAGCTGCCATGATGAATACTCTTTATGGTTTAATTTGACACACAATTTAAGAATTACTGATAGTGATTATTTAAATCCTGTATGCAGTTGTGGGCTCCATGCAAATTTTTCAAGGACCAGAATTGGTCAAATGAATGACTCCAGAAGGAATAAAAAGTATTTGTCTCTCTTTGAGGAACAATTAAACAATAATAGTTGTATTTTAGTATTAGGAGATGGTTTCTATTTTGCATTAACAGCAGCAAAATACGGAGTCAAAAAAATGTATTTCTTAGAAACAAATACTTTATCAAGAAGGATATTGTTAGAATTTATAAATTTTAATGGTATTAAAAATGTAGAAGTTATTCCTAGCTTAGAAAAATTAAATGAAATTGATTTAAAAGAGATTAATTGTGTACTAGGAGAACCCTATTTCACAAGTAGCATTTTACAATGGGATAATCTTTTATTCTTGTATTTATTAAAAGGAATTAAAAAGTTGGTGTCAAATGATATACAAGTATTTCCGCAAAAAGTAGTTATCAGAGCTGTAGCAGTTCATTTTAAAGATCTGTATAAAATTAGGAGCCCACTGGGAAAATGTGAAGGTTTATTGATGAAAAACTTTGACCAACTAATTGAGGTTTGTAATATCCAGCAAAAGGTTTTTATAATATTTATTATATTTTTACTTTATTTAGGAATCGAGTAATATTAGTGATGACACTGTGGAAGCTCATCCTCTCTGGGAATATCCAGGATTTGCCCTGAGTGAAGTAGAAGAAATTTTAGAAATTGACATGGCTCATCCACCAGAAAGCGCTACAGAAAGGAAAGGAAATATTAAAATACAAAGGTAGGTTTATAGAAATGGCAATTGCAGTAGTTTTCAATTGAGTACAAGTTTTAATGTCAAGAGAAATTGCTATTTTAATAATTACTTGGAAAAACCTACAAATAGTTCAGCATATTCTTTTTATGCCTTATCTGGACAAAATATTGATGTCCTGAACTAGTTTATCTTCTTAGTTCATATTGATTTTCTTGCATTGTAATTTTTTAGTCAATCTACTGAATTATATTTTTATCTCTAAGCCCATTACATTTTATTTATCTTAGAAATGCTTCCCTAAAATGATACAAAACATGTCTTATTTGAAGATTTTTTTCTGCAGTAGGTCAATTGTAATAATAATAATAATAATAAATTCATTATTAATCTTTTGAGTCCTTTTTAAATATCAAATAATAAAGAACATATTATAGTCTTCAAATATTATATTTATGTTTATTTTTCTTATGTTTTGTTTTTCCAGTCACATGGAGTGCAATGGTATAGCTGTGTGGTCAGACTGGTACCCTTTGAATTCCCCAAGGTTCCTAATATCTACTGGACCAATTTCACCAATCACAGTTGGTGAAAAAATCAACTGGGACATGTATACAAGACAAGGTGTTTATCTTTTTTCTAACAAATGCAAAACCAACGAAATTAAATATTCCTTCAGTTTAAATTTCAGTAATGGACATATAAACTTTAAATGTGATTAAAAATGTTTTATGTAAATATATGTAATTTATATGTAGGTACCTATGTCTTTTAATTTAAAATTCAATATAGGAAATTGATCAGTAATCTTCAAAATTTTAGAGGGTGTACGTAAAAGGCCTGTACAGAATTAGCAAAAATTCATGAGACTAAAATATGAGGATCTGGTGTCAGTGAGCGTATAAAAACAGCTATAGGTACTCAATGTGACACTTTTATGTGGTTTACCTTTTTTAGACAAAAAATGTAAAAGAATAAGAATTTCTAACTAGAAAGTTAATATACCTAGACACAAAAAAGTTATGAAGCTTTAGATGTAGACGAAGTGCTGGTGGTGGCGCCCTCTGCAAAGTAAATCGAAACTGTGATCAGATCTCGATTTATCATCCTAAAAAACACCAAATATTAAATTTCATGCAAATCTATACTTATCTACATATAAATAAGCAAATATAAAATAGTTCAGCACCATTCTCTCTTCTGTTTGTAAACCGATTCTCTTTTTTTTTTTGTTTTGTTTAGTAGCTATTGACGAGCTTAAGTGTTATCAATAAAAAAAATTGGAAATAATAATTTTTTTTCAACCTTCGATATATGGAATCCATTGATCAACAATTATGAATTATTATGATCGACTAATAAAATTAGCCTATAGCGGACATGAGCAGCACCCTTTAATTTCGAACGGACATAGAAAACTATATGGATAATAGTTCGAGAAAGAAAATTACTTCCCATTCCTTCAACTCCCCCCCTGCTCTGAATCGCCTAAATGGTAAGGGATAGAAAAAACTAAAAGCGGGGCCCATAGGCTCCGCCTGAAACGATTTCAAACTGCCCATCTTCTCCCAACCCCTACTTCATCTCCACCCCAGGGGAGGTCAATACATAGAACCCCTATACTTAAGAAAATTAAGTTCGTGTACAATGGATTGGACTTTGAGACGAAAAAAAATTTCACTCCCCCCTCTAAATGTATGGGAGGGTAGGGGTAATTTCGCCCTAAGTGTAGGTCGGAGGGAACATTTTTTTTTATAATTCTCGAGTATTTTGAGATATTGGTTCTATAAATAATTAAAAAAATAGAAAAATTCAAAGAATTGGCATTTTAATGATTATTTTCGATATGATTCATGACAAGGTGCAAGCTGAGGTGGATATAGTAGAGAGATGGTGGTTACCCACACCCAAACCCTTCTTTTTTAGATGCCTCAAGAGACCTCAAAATAAAAATTGTGTTTCATATCATATCAATTTAATGAGTGTTTTTAAATTGTGGCTTACTGTTATTTTATTGATTTTTTTTTTTATTTTTTATATGGTACTGAACTATGTTGTATCGTTAGTACCTATAAAAGTTTATGCTGCAGATATACAATAAACGAATGTGTAAGAACAAAAAAAATAGCAACATTCCAATGCATAAAATATATACAATGTGCATGTCTCACTAAGTTGGAACCATATGGAAAAATTTTTATTATTGGTTCTGTGAAAAAATGTATTCATGATAAAAAGTTCTGTATGGTCCAAAACATAAAATTCAACCATTAGATATCAATCTTTTTAAGCCGTATAAGAGGTTTGTCAAAAAATATAATTTTGCTGGAGAATAAAGTACCTTTATTTTTGACAAACCTCGTATAAGACTAATAAAATTTTACATCCGATAGTTGTATTTTAGGTTATAGACCATGCTTTACTTTTTATGAAGAATAACTTTTTTCCTAATATTAATAATAAAAAAGTTTTTTATATGCCGCCAACTTAAACAGTTGGTGGCCATTAAAATTTTAGTTATTCTTTATTTAAAGTCGAGCATGGTCTAAAACCTAAAATACGATATTTTACACTTGTGATTTTATGATTGTTTTAAACTTTATATTGCATTTAACAAACCAAAGTGATCAATATTGTCAAAAAACGGTCAATCAAAAAAAGCACAAAAACAAAATAGTATCCCGACTTCTTTAAACCTTCAAATCCCAAATTTTATAGATTTCTGATAAACCGTTTTTAAGAAATACTTTTCTCCCTCTCTACATTAGTATATATGAGATATATCTATTGTTTTACTAAAAATAATACTAACATTCTGAACCTCTTCGAATTTTTTTTAAATTGTTGAGAGTATTTCTTCTTTAATTTAATCATGATATTATCAGCCCATTCTGCTTTCTTTTGCTAATATGTAGCTCTTTCCAGTGCTGTCAATCTTAGATGGATTTCTAAAGCTAAGAAGCTATTTCGGTTTTTAATATTTATAGAACTATTTTCATCCAATTTCTATTTCAATTTGCTGTCACCTAGCGGTATCTGTTTGAAGTTTGTATTTTTTTAAATAGATATACGTACCTCATCATTACCAAATAAATTATTACTTATACATGTTACCTATTAAGAAACATTATTTTTTACTTACAAACATCATCCCGGTTTTCTTTTTAAAACGATTTTGAAACTTGACCATTGGCCTAGGTCCGTCAATAAAAGGTACCTACTGCTCCACCGTTTTTATAATGTCTGGATTGTGGATGTAGGTACCCCCAACGGCCCCAATCTGTAGTATGTAACTGCAGGTTTGTTTGTCAAGAAACAGCCATTTTCTTTTCAGAACGTTTTTAAGAAACTGCTTAATAATACATAATATTATTTACATATTTAATTAAAATATTAACTAATAATTGGTATAAGATATAAATCCTTTATAAATAATGAATTTTGTTGGTTTCTATGGCCTGGGTCAGGGTTCCCAAAGTGGTCGATACCGACCTCTTGGGGTCGAAATCGGTTTCCCAGGAGTCGACATAATCGAAAACTGATTTTGGGGGTCGACGAGGTCTAAAAATTGACACCTATTAATAAACACACGTTCTTATTTAAAACTTTCAAGATACTGTATAAGACAAAACTGTTGTTGTATTATCTTTGGGGATCTAAAAAAAAGGTGGTCCTTTACATTATTTTTCTGTTTTTGTATTTTTATCTTTGGGGAGCTAAAAAAAAGTTAATCGATGTTGAATTCGTGTTCAACGTCCATCATTAGGTTAAAATAAATATGTTCACCCTAATATAAACCATACCTGCTTGAAACGGTAATTTACTATTATTAAAAATTTCCCATAATAACATATTTTCTTTCTACTATTATTTTACATTGTAGGTACCTACTTATTAAATGCCTACATAAAATCTGTATCGTAATATTCATTACAATACATTTTTTTTTGTTATGATATAGATTATTTCAATTATGATCCAGGGGGCTTATTCTCTAACCAGCATTCATCATTCTCTAGAAACAAGACAAACACTAACAAAGGTGTAAAGCACAAACGTTTTGGTACTCTCTACTTTCTGTGCTGTTTGTATTGGAAAAAAGTAAAGGGCATTCAAAATAGTTTACACATGAGTAACGTTTTTCTGTTCGAACTTCAAGTTTTGACATTTAAGGCTAATATTTTCGGACGTAGATCAGTCAAACATTAAAATATAGACCTAAATATTATAGCTTGAATATTAAAATGTCAGCTAATGTATGCTGTTTATTATGTTTTTGATTCCTTATAATTCTGGAACTGGCCTTAATATATTCTAATAGGGTTTATAATTATATTAATGTTAAAATGACATTCAAATCCTAACATTAGATATTTAGACCAATCAGCATTTACGATTTATAATTATTATGACAGCTTAGCTTGCAACAAAAATTAAAATCACATACGAATAGCAAAATCGTCTAGCATTAGAGAATACCATAATCGCATGCTTGTCGTTTTGGTGATCGAACTTTGTTGAGAAGTCTTCTTGGCGCCCTCAATGTCTTGGCGCTTTCGTTGCTATGCATTTTCGGCTGAAAGCTGAAAGTTAGAGAATAACCCCCCAGATTACTTTTTGATTACAATACAGATTAGGTAAGAAGTAACATACGGATGAGCAATTTATGTAACTTTATACATCATTGGTGTGATTATGTGATCTGAATTATCGACTGTCGGCGTCCCTCTAGTATAGAAGCGCCATCTTAATTTTAAATATTTTAAGCTTAGAGTGGTAATATTAAAGGTTTTCGACGTGTAGGAATATATCTATTAAGCTTAACATAAATAAAAAAGAACCCTTAATATTTTTAAATAAATTTGTTTCTCTTAGTGCCAGTCTTTTCACCTTTTAGTAAAGTTGAATAACTACTTGCTGATTAAACGATAGGCTGCTGTTCGATAATCTGTCAAGTGAACATACGTGTAACTTTACTCAGAGGTGAAAAGATGGGCCCTTAATCATGCATATCAATTATCTAAATTATTAGTTATTGTGACAAAATACACTGCATAAATGCTAAACATAAATACGAACCCTTTCAAACCGTACGCCATTGAGAATTAGTCCTTGCCCCTCTCCCCTCACGTCTAAAGTGATGACCCGCTTATACATAACAAAATACATTGAATTTTATTTTTTGTACCATGACATTGAATGATATCTCTAGGCTTATATTCTCAAAGATGTTAAGGGACACTTTTTGTAAACAAAGATAGTTCTCCTTACCTCTACACTCCATACATATAAATCAATATAACCCTAGATTACCTACCTATCATTCTATCAATGCACCCTTGAAATTGCTATATGGTCTCCTTGTTACCACCTGTTTTATGTCAAGTTTTGTCAATAAATGCCTTTTGAATATTCTGTTGAAGCACTTTGGAATTTTATACAATTTTCTCTGGTGAGTCAAAACATTTTTAAAATTTCTATATCTAAAGTTTACCATCCAATTTGCCAACCTATATTTTAAATAAATAGTTATTTGTTTATGTATGTACGTAATCTATTCTCACCTAATTAATAATTATATATTATGTTTACTAGTTATAGAAAAGTAAAATATATTCACGAATCTTTCGAATATATCTGAGTTTCCAGTTTGGTTGATTATAATATATGAGGGTTTTAAAACCAGAATGGAAAAAATATAAGGGCTCAAAGACTTGAATGGGAAATAAGAACCAATTTTCTGTTTTATCCATTTATTATGAAATCCTAAATTTGTGATTTAATTGAACCTAATAAAATTTTGTTAAATCTAGAAATAATTTTTGATCTATGGGTAAATTGATATATAGAATCTAGCAATACTGTTTCTCAATGAGAATAATACATTCCACTATTTTATATCTTTATAAGGATAGTATTCTTGATGGAGTAATATTGAATGCCGTAGTATCTTACAAATAGACTAACCAGATTTCTCTAACAAATTTAGATGTCTTCGAAGACATCTCGACCTTAATTTATTATTATGATCACGATTTATTAGTTGGTTTTATAAATATTTTGAACTGTCTAGTAGTCCAAGAAGCAAAATATCTTCTATGTACTGATGTCCCAGCAAACATTTTCTATAACATTAGTTATAACTCGACTTTGTTAAAGACGAATTTACTTATTGAGGTAATTATTACGTAAAATTGACTAGAAAAATATACCTCTAATGTAAATTTACCAAACGGTTTTAATTTATATTTAAATTTACGTAAATTATACCAAGAAATCTACCTTTTACACAAATCTGCTTAAAAGTAACTTTAACCATATCAGCAAGGGAAAAACTACTAAAAAAAATAACCAACAATTACTTCAAAGTTAAATTACCTTTGTAGTAAAATTAGGTGCTATATTTAGGTAATATCTACCTGTTTGGCAACTAAAAATCGTCTTTATAGTAGAATATCCAACTAGGTAGATTTGGTTAAAAATTCTACGTAATTTTATGCCTCCATAGTAACCTATTTGGCCGCTTTTATTTACTCTCCTTTAAAGTAATATTAGGTCGAGATCGTAGCAAAATTCTACCTGTTTATCTACCTAATTTCAACCAAATAGTCGAATACTCATTTAGTTGACCTATAAGTCATCTTGAAGAAATATTTATTAACTTTGTTGTAGCAATTACCTGAAAAATCTACCACAAAGTAAATTCGACTAAAAACCACCAATTTAAAAAGAGTCATACATGACCTATTTGTAAAATTTATATTATTTAGGTTATTTTAACAATTAGGTTGTTCAGTTACTGTCTTCGTCATTATTCTTAAGAATTTCGGCCATTTTAAAAAAACCATTACAGTCGTAATCTTAATTTACGTGTGGTGTAGATAGAGCTTTAAATGAGTGCGAAAAATAATTAATAAAATGAGTTCGAAAAATAATAAATCATATCGTTATACTTCCGATTTTTATCGTAAAGTGAAACGTCTAAAATCTCAAGTGCAGAACAATGCGACCTAAATATGTTATATTTACATATAGGTAAACCTATAAGTTATTATTTCTTTAAATATGTCGTGAAATTGAAGTTAATTCAACTTAATAAAAAGGTATTTGTAAATTACGTAGATTTCCTTAGTCATAATAACTTTTAGGTCGAATTCGCACAATACGCCATATTTCCTTAACGTAATTGAAGTACGATTCCAAATTTTAAATTTTTAAAATGACCATAACTAGAACATACGAATAAAAATACCGAAAAACGAAACATTATTGATTTTCTAAAGTGATACACAACAAACGTAACATAGTTTTAGCTCATAATATTATTATTATTTTTTTACACGATCATATTTTTTTCTTATATTTTTTGGAAGGACATTGTTATTTTTCTAAGTAGAACTGTTAACATGCACGACAAAATTTTCTTCGCATTAATTTCAACAAGCGTGAACTGTATATTTACCGCAATTACATTACATATATTTTTGTCACCGACATTTATTTATTTTCAATCTTTCATGTGAATTAGGTATATGTTTTAGTTGTGTTGGTGACTTCTTACAATATTTCTACTTATATATAGATAAAAATACCAAATAAGTATAAAATTTCTTTTCGTACACTTGGAGGCATACGTCATCTGCAAATATTTTGGTAGTTTCTACCTAAACTTAGTTAAATCAACGTCGAATTAACGTTATATTGACGTCAAATTTCCCTAGAGAGGTATTACTAACCAAACGTACTGGGCTACTACAATGTGGATTTAGATGTAATTCTACCTATTTTGGTAAATAAAACCAAATTTCGACGTCGTCTTATTCTCCACTTATGTCGAATCCACGCCGAACCAACGTAAATTTTACTTAATTATGGTTAAATCTAATTTTGCGACCAAATTTATTATATATAATTTAGGTAGTATCGACGTCAAATTACACCAAAATGTTTGCAGGGGTTCTTTTAAAAAAAGTAGTTTTTGGCAGAAAATACCACAAAAAAATTAAGGACCATTTAGAATATTTTTAACTCCATTTATGGCAGAAAGTCTGTTTTTCATTCGCAAATGTTCCTTCATCTGTGAGTTGTGCACTATTGGGACGTGAGAGAGTGTTGACAATCCAATATTATTTTGGATTATATTTCTATCTTTGCCATACGGCATAATCTATTATTTCTAAGAAAATTATTTATCCTGATTTGAGCACAGATATTGTTTCTATTACTTTAGTCTGTAAAATTGATTTATATGAACCAAGGTTCAGATGGTTAAGTTCTTGTTATGAACATTGATTTGTCGTATTTCTACTTCTTCTATGCTTTTGATAAACAGAAACAATTAACAGTTTAAACAACTCATAACCTAATAAAAGAATTAAACAAGCTTTAGAGGAATACCTATCTACAGGAAAACAAATTAAAAATTTGAGAAAAATAGCACAGGATAGTAAAGAATATATGTTTTTTTGCGAAACTAAGAGTCTAAAACGTAGGCTCCTATTACCTTAAAGAAATTAGAAAAGCTAAACGTAGTTCCAGTAGAGTTGATAGAGCTGTGGCTCTAAGAATGATGATGGAGAAGATTTAAGGAGAGTTATGAGGAAAGAGCTCATCTATTATTTGCTACGTGTTTTCTAACTTGTCGTCAAACCTGTGGTCAAACTTATCGCAAGATTATTTACATAATCGTAAAATAAAACGATCAATTCGTCTGCCATTAAAATATATCAAAAACTCCACTTCCTCACCACAGTACGTCACCGTCACGTGAACCAAATGAATAGAAGCTTCATGTAGAATTAGGAGGAAAGAATTCACCTCTTACTCGAAAATAACTTTCCTGGGAGCACACATTTTCTAATAAAGGAAACAAGTACAGAGAGGCCGCAACAATTGCTAAACACATATCCAGCAGTAATATATTAAAGTGGAATATGAACACTTTGGAAAATCTTTAAGTATCTAGGTTTGGATGGAATATTTTCTGCCTTGCTTCAGCGAACACAGAAAGAATTATTACCACATAATATATCTGGAAACAGTCTGGAATTTGAGCACAAACCAGAACCAGAGTCAATTTTATTGTAAAAGTAGGGAAAAAACGATATCAAACATCATGAATCCTCCCATCAGCCTTATATCCTTTATATTAAAAACAATGAAAAGGGCTATTGGTAATTATATCAGAACATAAATTCTGGAAATGGTGCCACTGTACTTCACCTAGCACGCGTTCCGAGTAGGCATATCTACAGAAACCTCCCTGGTACAGCTGACTCATAAAATTCGAGATGCACTCGGACAAACAAAGATACAATCATGTGCACCTTCTTAGATATAGAAGGAGCGTTTGACAAAGAACCGTACGATTATGTTAAAAGAGCACTTAAATACAGATAGAGGATAGTTTAAAAATATCCTGTGTGATACAGATGAAGATATTGCCTAGAGGTGAGAACTAATATTTCAAAGGTACAAAGTATATCTTTATGAAAAACCTAATCTATGGCCGCAATGGAAGTTATCTTAAATCTTTCTACATTTATTATAGATATAGAACGTTCTGAAGTAATCAAGGGTACTAGACTTGGGAACACACCTTGGGAAGATAGAATTGAGAGGGTCACTATAGACGTCGAGACTATAGTGAGTCTTGGAAAAAAATAATCAGTATTCTTAAATACTGTACGTATATGGACAAATTACAGGTTTATTTTAATAAAAATTAATTGTTCCTGTGACGTACTCACTAACTCCTAATTAATATTTTTTATTTACTTTTTGTCAATTTTTATCATCCTGTATTACTTATTTATCTTGACTACGAAAATAAAAAAGTCAGCAAAGGGACCGATCTTATTAATTACATTTTGGCTTGAAACAGCGAATCCTCACAGCAAATTAGCGGATTCCCGCAACAAATTGGTGACCCCCGACTGAACACGAAAAATTATTGGTAAGTCAACAAAATTCCACTAAATTTGAGAAGCTAGTTTATCAACTCGTTACGAAGGTCCATACAAAGATGAAAAACGTTTAGATAATCACGATTATATCAAACAAAACAATAAATTGATACTTATTTATCTTGACTACGAAAATAAAAAAGTCAGCAAAGAAATCAATCTTATTAATTACATTTTGACTATAAAATTAAGAATTAAAACAGTAAATTAGCGGATCCCCGCAACAGTTCCACTTAAATTTTATTCTATACAATATGTAGAGCGCGTGCAATTGGCACATGCCCATTAGAAGAAATTCCTGATTTGCGTTATATGTATTATCTTTTTTTGCTTACTTTTTTTGTATTTTCTCTTTCAGACACAATTTATTTTGATTTCATTTATTATTTATATTACTTCTTAATAACTTTATTTTTTAATTAGATTTAATTACATTTTTGATTTTAATTTTTAAATAATGGATCCGTATTTAAGAGATGTGAATTATAACCCCATAAATATAATCAAAATAAAAAATACAACCGATTTAAAACATTTAATGCAAAGTTTGCATTGCAAACGAATAATATATAAAATAATTTTACTTATTTTAAATTATATCATCAAAATATAAGAAGTGTTAATAAAAATATTGATGAATTACTCATCAATTTACAACAAATTTCTGTAGATTTCGATTGTATTTGTTTGACAGAAACAACACAAATAAGAGATGTTTCATTGTTTCAGCTGCAAGGATATGACAGCGGCGGCTCGCTAGATGCCGCAGGTGACGCGCTGCTTCACCAAAATTTCAGTAGAAATAAATAAAAAAATCAACTGAATAGCTAAATATTTCTTTTTCTGTAACAAAATGCCCTGCATTTTTGTCTCTATACAAATTACAAAACAGAAACCTCCAAAACTGTACCTAATTTCGGGGTATCTGGACCACTGCATAAAACAAACGGGCTCGCTTATTTTTGGAAATATAATACAATAGAAAGATTTCCTAATCCGAGCGAACGAAACGCTTGACGCGCTATGCATAAAACCGCCGAACACGCGTCTCTTCTATCGGCGCGTTTATGATGGTTGCCATGGTAACGGCACGTTTCGATCTACCCGATTAATACACTTGACGCGTTGAATCAGTTTGCTTCTTCCGGTCGGGACTATTTTTATACAGTGGTTGGACTAGTTGGTCAATTGCGACTATTGCGAGTTTTTTTTTAGATTTTTCTAACAATGTTTCCAGTACATGATCCAGTATGTATGCTATTGGAGATGCCATTCTGTAGATGGGGAAGTGAGGATAAAAAAGACTTTTTAAATTCGCCAAGAGCAGAACCTCTACTAAATGTAAGCAACAAACCAAGTCAAAAAACAAAGTGTTTTTGCGAAAATTTCGAAAAGAGTGCTATTCCGAATGTAAATGGTTGTGTGGTAGTTTTTGTGTACCCTGTTTGATAGTAGGTGTAAAATCAAATGTATGGAATAAAGACGGTTTTAGTGATTTTTGGAACGTAATTGAAGAAGCTTTAAAAGAAAACTCTAGGCTATATATAAAACAATTTAATGAAAAAGTGCATCTTAACAGACGTTCTATGCAGTTGCCAATTCGAGCAGTTCTTTTTCTTGAAAAACAAGAATTGGCATTTCGTGGTCATAAGAAGATATATCTTCCGAAAATCGCGGTAATTTTAAGAAACTTTTAGATTCCTATATCTCACTCAGTTCTGTAGACATTGAAGAACACACTATAAAAAAAGTTCGCTTGTATTTACCGTAAATTCTAAAATAATTCAAAATGAATTAATCAACTGTATTTCTCAATATATTGAAAAATATATTGAAATGGAATTAAATTAAATGATTGCAATTTTTTCCATTCAAGTAGATGACTCTCAAGGAAAGCTAGTTGAAAGATTTTTAGGATTCCATGATGTAAGTTCTGATCGAACAGCTCAAGCATTGTTTACCCTAGTTACAAGTTGTCTAGAAAAAACGACTACAAATCAAAACTTGTTGGCCAATATTATGACGGCGCTAGTGTTATGTCAGGGGCAATTAAATGGTTTACAATCGGAAGATTAAGGAAGTAGCACCAGAGGCGGTGTTCGTTCATTGTTTGGCGCACCGTCTGAATTTAGTCCTGTCTAAAAGCTGTTACAGCATTTCGAAGTGCCGTATATTTTTTGCTAATGTGAATGGTGTGACTTCTTTTTTTCATTATTCAGCAAAAAGAACTCACGCCGCCGATGTAATCCTCAATAAGTGAATACCCACTTCAGTAGTTACAAGATGGTCATCTAATTCTAAGAGTTTGAGTCTTATTCATAATAATTGGAATTCTCTAAAACAAGTTTTAAATGACATTTTAAACGATCAGGCATCAATAAGACAGAGCCAGGGCTGGTTAAAAATGTTTAATGACTTTGAATTTGTTTCTTCTAGTTATTATTTTTACTGAAATTTTTTTCCATCAGCTATGTACTTTTTGATGTATTGCAGAAACGTTTTTTAGATATAAATTAGTGTGGATCTCAAATTAAAAATGCGCAGAATCAACTAAACGCTAAAAGAAGTAAATTTATTTTGGCAAATATAATTGATTCAGTTTTCCTAAGAACAGAACTGTCCATTGAGCACCGTGATGGGCGCATAAGACAAGTCTTGACAAGAGATCAAGTAGTTCAAAAATATAAAATTCTGTATTATGAAATCCTGGACAAAATTTTAGAAAAAATCAACACTCGCTTTCAGGATACTGATAAGCTTCAGTTCGTAACATTGGACACTTTCAAATTTTCTGTATATTCGCAGAGCTTTCCTACAGAAGCACTAAATAATTTAGTTCAAATGTATCCTAGTAAATTAAATGACTTAAAAGGGTTAAAAAATGAGTTACTGTTTATTTACAGTGATGAAAACTTTATAAATATTGACACCGATAAATTGTTAGAAAAACTATTTGAGAATCGTGATATTTTCAAAGAAGCTTATGAGGTATATTGCTTAATCTTAACTATTCCATCCACTAGTGTTTCAGTCAAACGTAGTTTTTCTTGTTTAAAACGAACTAAAACATATCTACGAAATATAATAACAGAAGATCGACAATTTAGCAAAAATTTCAATTGAAAAGACACTCTTACATTATTTAAAGTACTTGGGGGTAATAATAGATGCAAACCTAAAATGGGACAAAAATATTTATAACATCATAAAAACTTTATGAGGATTTACTATTTAAATTTAAATATCTCTAATATTCTTGACAGAACTTACTTCAGAATTAATTATTACTCTCTTGTAGAATCTAGAATTCAATATGGTATTTCAGCTTGGGGTGGAACAAATTACACACATCTAAGAACACTTGAATGTATTGCAAAATAAATTTTTGAAAATTATGTATAGAAAAACTAGAAAAACCTACCTTGTATTCATCTAATCTATTTTTTAAGGAAGCAAACCTTCTGGATATAAGCTCAATTTATTATTATTTATTATTTTCTATTCATTTTTAGATTTTTTTTGGCAAACATGTCTGTTGTGGTTTTCGAAAAACCGCTGACTCGTATTAGTCTAGCTGATTGGTTCGCAAATGTTTGGCAAAATCAGCAGACCAACGAGACAAGAAGAAACGATGCATTCAATTTAAGACATGAAATTAGACAAATGAGAAATGAGACGAAGGTGCGGACCGATTGGGATACGTACCATAACAATGTCAGATTAGCAGATAGAATTACAGAGCTGGATAGATGGAGAGATGTAAGTAACAGACATTTTAATGATTAATCTGACTGATTCCAAACAAAACAAAGCAACCATGTCCAACTGCTGACGGGTCCATAGGAAGTTTAGCTTTGTTAGAATTTTATACATTTTCGAAGGTTTGTGGTTTGTACATAAAAATATTCGCGAATAATTATGACAGTTTCTACACTGACATGGTAATATTGTTTTATTTGGAAATAAATTAAATAGTACTAACGTCACGACTACCACGATCAATTCAATAGAAAATTATTGAAAACTGTTTGTTTATAGACATTACAGAGTTGTTTGGACAAAGTAAAACATGAGATAAAATTTCTGAAGCACGAAAAATTCGAAACTGAAAGAGAAATTGACGCATTACCGGTGGGAATAATAGGGGAATGTATTTCTCTCCGAGATGGACGACATGGCAAAGAGTTAACCTACGATGAGGGCGATACCGAACTCAAAAGGGTAAGTTTTTTATATTATTAATCATTTTTTTCCAAGATTATCTTTGCATCAACATATCCCTAAGGAAACTGTGTGGTATGGTGGTTCGAGAATATATTTAAGAGGAATTTGTGTTGATGTCTGCACGTATGTAGTCTTTATTTATTTTTATTGGAAAATGTTGTTTCAATCCATATCATGCCTTTTACGATTTTTATAATGGATGGGTTCAAATTTATGCAAGATAATTCTTAGCACCACATCTAAAGACAGTTTTGTTATCAGATCCATATAATGTGTGTTTTTTTGTAGTTGTTGGCACTGGATAGAGTCCATTTGCCACAGATGCGTATTAGAGAGAGAAAAGGGGAATAAAAGATCTAATATATGTAAATGACTTTATTTTTATTATCTTTGTCGTTTATAAGCAGGTAGATACTGCGGCTTCTTGGGTCCGTTGTATTCTCCTGCTTTCTCTATATTCAGGTACTAAGTTTGCAATAGTCCTGTGTCTTTGATTAGTTTGATTAGGTTCCTTATCAAGTGTTCCTGCAACGCTCATTACGGTTCTAGACCAAAAAGCTTCGCTTTCAAAGTATTGGTACGAGGTTTCTTCCTCTTCCATGCAAAGTCTACGCGTGGTGTGATCATTGTGTTATCTCATCAGCAAATAGTTTCCAGTTAATAATCCCACAATGGTAGATATTTGGGGGCTTTACGATCTGTAGTAATTTGAATGGGTTTGGTATTCTTAGCATAACATTACTGATTCGGCGTCCTTTTATCTGTTGTCAGTGAGTTTGGTGCTTAGTGATTATCAACCTGTTTTGATTCGGGTCCTGTAAATGATAGTTCTGATTCTTCTTTAGTGGGATCCTCAGTCTTTTCATTTTCTTTATGTCCCATTACCTACGTAGAAGATAGTGAGTGCATATTGTGTGAGGAGGAGGAGGAGGATGAAACCTCCATTCACGTTCTGACTGAATGTGTAGGTAGCACTATACCTAGGAGCATATCAAATAGAAGCTGAAGATTTACCTAACTTGAAGCCACTCCAAATCCTACACTTCCTTTAGAAGATGGGTCCTTATAGGCATAGATACAATTCCTCGCCTCATTAGCGATAGAAAGGAACACAATAGATCTTCTAGCTCGCAGTGTCTTAACACCCCATTGCCAACATAACATAAATAATACCTACGCTATTGGGTTGGCAGATCAAGTATTTCAATGCAGTTCCAGACCAGCTTTGACTTGATTCTGTTTGAACCAAGGTCTTTTAAATATTTTTTGTTTTGTTTTTTGTATTTCTTTCTTAGATTTTCTCTTACACGCAATTTAATTACATATATTTCAACCTGAAATACAGTAAGAGAGAAGCACCTCTTGGCGACGTTGTCAACTACATTAAATCTGTAGGCCGGCTCACGAGCTAGGAGGTGTCTATCATCTTAGGAGGATGTACAATGGGCCTAATGAGGCCTAAGTGCCGTGGGGTAATACACCCTCCATATGCCGCGGTTGAGAATCCACATCGGATGCATCTGAGATGTTGTGAATTTTTTATCACGTGATAGAGAATTAGATCTGAATGTAGTTTATACTTATTAAATTTGACTTTTGAGACTACAAATCAATCTAAATTTGAAATATAAACAAAAATTAAACAAACTGATCACTTTTATATTCATGATAGCATAAACAAAGGATAAATTGACAAACTTGGCTTCACAGCACACTTACTTTCTGGCATGGAATGAACATCTCATTCACATTTCATTTCAAATCGAGATGTAAAAAATGTAATCTGAACAGGTAAATCTGGGATAAACAAACGCAGATGTAGATGTAGATGTAGTAGATGTGTCCGATGTGGATAAAAAAACGCTCGAGATGTAAAAAATGCATCCGATGTGGATTCTCAAACGCGGCAATAGTTACAGATACAGATAGAGTAAGATGTTTTCCCAATGATTCGATGATGTCGCATTTACGCCTTTTTTAGATAATTATTAGTCAAAATTTATTAAGAGGAACATAGTACCTTCTACACGAAAAAAACAGAAAACCTTAAAACAGGATAAATTGAACGTTTTAATTTACAGTGATTGTGGGTATACATTCAGTCTAAAATAGTCTTACCAAATTTCAACATTGGTCGAAAATGGCTCATATTACGGACGTAAAATTAAATATTAAAAAAAAATATCCTACAACAACTATCCAAATAGAAATAAAGAGCTGAAATTCTGCAGAGGCGTTCAGCTTTTTATTAGTGAGGGTTGGGAGCATGGATTTTGAAAACACTAAATTTTAATACGATATCCATGGTCTTATTTTACTATAATTAAAATATAGATAAGCAAATCGTTTATAATCGTATTAAAAATAAAGTGTTTTTAAAACCCATGCTCCCTGCTACTGAATTTCAGCTCTTAATTTCTATGTGACTAGTTGTAGGATTTTTTTTTTTAAATATTTAATTTTACGTCCGTAATATGAGCCACCCAGCATATATTTTCGGCCAATGTTGAAATTTGGTAAGACTAATTTCGCCAGATTGTACACGTCCAATCACTGTAAATTAAAACGTTCAATTTATCCTATTTTAAGCTGTTCTGGTTTTTTTAGAGAAAAAGGTACTATGTTCCTAAGAACATGAAATGGTGTGATTACCTGTATTAAAAGGAATTTATGTTTTATAGAAATGGGGATTTTGCAAAAGAATATAAAGTGCATTCAGGAATAAATTGAATGTGTCGTTATTTAACATAATTAATGATGTTTAAATACAATTAAAAACCGATTAAAGTAATTAAAAATCCCCAGTAGTAACATATTTATGAGATGGGGAATTACAATTCTAGCTTAATACTTAAAAATTTTTATAATTGTCTGATAAACATTTTAAATAGGCTGTGTTGGTATACCATTTAGTGCGCATTTCCTTGATATTTTAATTTGTAGAGATTTATAAACATCGTTTCTGGCTCTACTGTTGTGGTAAACCTATTAGCAAATTTTTAATATACACAACGTTCTTTCAGTAACTTTTTAACCGAAACTACAACAAAGAGGAAACAGAAACAGATCGTTTAAAAATAATTTCCAAACTATGGTAATTTGTGCCATGAAATAAAATTATTATATCAGTAGTAATTACCGGATTATGAAAATACTTCTTCTTTGAACAGGTTATATATTAAAGCAAGAAATGGCACTGAAAATATCTAAATTAATTTTTACAGTTTCGGCTATTGAACACTTTCCAATACGCCCTGCTAATGTCGAACTAAAAGCTACAGACAGTTATCAACGTTGCCGTGTGCGCTGTTTAATGTGAACAGACACACGACGAGATAATATCCCCATACGGCTGGCTACGTTGATATTACTCGTTTCCTGCTCGCGTTAATGCTAACTCTGTAGTTTTTACTTAGAAATCGTTCGATAGCTTAAGCATAAGGAATATGTAAGTAATGAGGAAGAGCCTTGGTATGGGCTAAACTTCTACCAGATTTTGATTTTTATGTTTTGCCCGAAAAATATATGTGTGTGTGTCTCTATCTACGAATATAGTAAAATTTAAATCAACTATTTAGAAACAACTGCTGAATGTTTTTTTATCCAAAATGGATTGCGTAATGCCTATTTCGGGTACAGTAAGCCTCCAGCTTCAGTACAAGTAGGCTTTGAAACACCCTAATTCAGATAGATATTTATGCACATTCCAAAAATCTCCATACCCAGGAATATCTAAAACAAAAATAAAGGCGCAGTGTGTATCTTAAAATTAAAAATTAACAGAGTTATGACCTTTTTAAATTTTTACATATTTTCTTGCAATAAAATGTATAAAAATTTCAATAAAAATAGAAAATATTTGTTTATGGTCTTAATAGGAGAACCATGCAAAAATTAACAAGTTCACATAAATATCATATTAGTTTTTGAATATATTTGAGTATTATTAATATAATAATGAATATTACCCTAAAATTGAACCATATCTTTTTGAGCACAAATCATTCACCTTTTTTCATCATGTCGTTATGAATAAAACTGTGATGAGGTTCTATCTCGGGTTCTGCAATATCTGTTTGTAAATTGGCTTCACACATTATTTCGCTCATAACTCCTTTCAATTTTTTGACCACAAATATTTAAAATGTGGTTTCATTTATCTCTAAGAGTAATAATAATAGCAGGAAAAATATAATATTTCTTGTTAGTTTTGTAAGAAAAATACCTATTTACTTCTGCAATTAAAATTTAAATGAATCAGAAGTTAATGACATTCTTCTTCGCTATAGTTATAAATTAGTTAAATCTAACTTACACTAAATTAATAAAATTTACTCACCTACCTTTAAAAAAAAAAATATATCACCTACTTTTGAAAAAAAATATCACCTACATTTGAAAATAAAAATAATATCAGACTGACATATTTGTGGCAACATAACCTGAATTTATTGTCAAAGCCAGATGTACACCATCTCATAATATTTAAATTTAGCTTTACCTTACATTTATTAACGATTATCCCTGTATTTGATCACACATTATATTGAAGTGAAATTTAAAGGGGTAAATCAGTAAAATTATTGATTTCTTTGTCATTATTTTTGAAAACATGTTTTTTATGACTAAGCGCTTACGGTTGAACTACCAACAAGGAAACAAGTCCCGCCATGTATTCAAACTTTCTCTTTCTATTTTTCTATGGCTCTTCCTTTAAGACAAAACATTATCGGGTCCTTATACCCATATTACAATTTTTACAAGGTGATCTTCTCAAAAGATACTCTTGAGTAGCTATAACCATATTACAATTTCGCATAAGACACTTGGGTCACTAGGTATATCCACATTACAATTTTTATATTTTATACAGGGCGACCTTCCTATAAGACACTCTTGGATCACTATATCCATATTACAATTTCTTATATTCTATACAAGATATTATTCTCATAAGAAACTTCCAAGTCATTAATATCCATTTCATAATTTGTACATATAGGACGATTAACAAACCCTCAAACATTAAAATAAGTTGCTTCAGGTCACAGAGTCAGGGCTAGAGAACCGAGTTGGAACGTTTCCGCCAGCAGGTCTAGACTGAAGACAATATTATAATTTCACATTTTTCACACTTGCCGTTTTGTTTGCTTATTAATTCACTCTTTTATCCAGATATGCCTCGTACAAGGTGGCTCAAACAACATTATTACTTATTACTTACATATTAAACAAAAATTCTGATCAACTCATTTACAATTTAGTTTACTTTCACTTCCCGACCAACCTTTACTTTTTCGTTGGGGAGAATGTTGAATAACATTCAACAAATTATATTCATCGTTACACTCAATATTGCATCCATTATATACTAAGCTTTCATTTTTAATTTTTTACTTCTCCTGATAACGTTTCTAAAAACAGCACTGTCTTGGTCGATAAGGAAGGTCTCCCAACAAATAACTACATCATTTACTTCTTATCCATTTTCATTCGTTAGCACCATAGCCGTAATTTACTTCTTATTGATTAACGTCACAAGCGTGACTCCCAAGCGCGCTTAGCGACCATCTCTACAGCGCAGATTTAGAGCTTCAGTACCTCTAAAAAAGACATTACTGCGTTTTGCGGTGTCAAAAAGGCGACGCTCTATCGGGCATCATGTAACATAACTTTTATATATATTAACATGGCTTGAGTAACAAATTTCCTAGAGAAATAATGTAAAAAGTGTTTAGTCTTAAGTGAACCATTTATTGATAGATCAAATCATATTTAAAATAAAGTGGCCTATGGATCGCACAGGTAATTTCAAACTTACACCGATAGAAACATGTAGGGGACGTCCGCCAACAGTGGCCATACCAAGTACAGTGGCCACCCGTTGATATTATTGCAATGTGATGTCTAGTAGTAGCGCCCCCTCGTATGCGGGGTTAAAATCATGACTTGTTTTGAATATTTCAACCGGATTTTCAGTATATCACCATTCGCGCAGCGCTTAGTTTATGCGTATTTCTAACGTAAAAAGTTACATATTTCGGTGTATATATCCTTTATTGGTAAGTACACTAGTGTTATTTGCATTTCCTATATTTATCTTGACTTAGATGAAGCGTATGATGACGCTAAGGTGCAAAAATTCCTATCAATTTTTATGTGGTTTGGTAAAGTGTATTTTCTTCTCTCTCTGCTACAGTGGCTACAAACTGATTCGCAACAGTGGCCACTGCTTTTAAAGAATAGAAGTAGTGGCCACTGTTCTCGATATGTTTTTTTTTTTATTTCAGAAAGAAAAAATGCCACCGCCGAAGACGAAAAGACCTGGTTTAATTGGAAAAATTCCTCCAGAGACCATGAGAAATGCTCTTTTTAGTATAAAGGAACACGGTCTTTCTGTAAAAGCAGCCGCAAGTCTACCGCAAGAACTACCCTTAGGAGATATAAAAAAAATTTGAAAATGTTGAAGACATAGCAAATGTTACTAAAGGATTGTCGCCCAATTATACTGTAAACCGAATATTTTCTATTGCGGAAGAAACAGAGCGTTGTCAATACCTCCAAATGTGTGCCAAATTAAATCATGGACTCACTCCAAAAGATGTCAGAAAGTTTGCATTTTCATTAGCAGCAGAATATGGCAAGCGAATTCCTCCCTCTTGGTTCAAAAATGAAATGGCAGGAAAATATTGGATCACCAATTATCTCAAAAGATATCATCTCTCTATTCGAACAGCTGAAGCTACATCCTTGGGTCGTTCTATGGGTTTTAATAAAGTTGTTGTTCAGAAGTTTTTTGATAACTTGCAAAAAGTCATTGAAAAGCATCACTTCAGGTCTGATAAAATATATAACGTCGACGAAACGGCTCTGACTACAGTACAAGAGACAAGTAAAGTGGTTGCTATGAAAGGCCAACGACAAGTTGGTCAAGTAACGTCCAGTGAAAGAGGGACCTTGGTGACAATGTGTGGTGCAATAAATGCGGATGGCAATAATATACCACCGCTTTTAATATTTCCGAGAAAATTCTTTAAGAATCACATGATTAAAGGTGCACCAAATGGAACCGTAGGAATAGCATCACCCTCGGGTTGGATGACGTCGCTAATATTTGTTCAGTGGCTGCAGCATTTTATATCCTATGCTCAACCAACACAAGAGTTGCCAGTTCTTCTCATAATGGACAACCACATTAGTCACATTTCTTACACAGCAATAAAAATGGCTCGAGCAAATAACATAACTTTACTTACTTTGCCTCCTCATACGAGCCACAAACTGCAGCCACTGGACAGAGCTGTCTATGGTCCGCTGAAATCGCACTATAATAGTGCCTGCCGTTCGTGGTTGATGAACCATCCCGGTCAACGCATAAGCATATATGACATTGCTGAAATTCTAGGCCAAATCTGTAGCAACGCATTCTCCACAAATAATTGTGCATCGGGTTTCAGATCTACGGGAATTTACCCGTTTAATTCAAACATTTTCATTGACGATGATTTTTTAGCCGCCCAAGTTGCTCACATACCTCTCGAAGAAGATAATGGACCAGAAGAAATGAATCCCAGCCAAGACACTGCCAAAGTTACACCACAAAAACAAAATAGCCTACTTGAAGAAGCGTGCCCAAGCTGTAGAGATTTTCAAAACCAAAAAGAGATAACTTCACCACAAAAAGTTTTTAGTCCCGAGGCCTTAAGGCCATACCCAAAAACTAATCAGATTAAAAAAATGGGACAAAAAAAAACAAAAAAAAGAACTACGGAAATATTGACCAACACTAACAATATTGAAGGAAATCCAGGAGCAGGAGCACTTAAAGGAATCTAGAAAACAAAATTTAAACAAAAGCAAGCCCACTACAAGAAACATTTTCAGCTTTAATACAGAGACGGCCAATACAAAAACATTAGCTCCAAAAAATGACGATAGTAGCGATACAGAATCTAATACCGAAAGCTTGAACCTTACGGACTCTGACGATATTGATTGGACTGAAGAACCTAGAGATCAGAATTGCGATGGTGAAATTTTGGTTGGAAGCTTTATCTTAGTAAAATTTGCTACAAAAAAAACAAGTTAAATATTGTGTGGGCCAAGTTACGGATATCGATAACAGGTTTAAAGAATATAGTGTCAGCTTTCTAAGAAAAAGACGAGAAAACAAGTTTTCTTTTCCTGATGTCCCAGATCAGTCAACTGTTCCACCAGAAGATATCGTGATGTCATTACCAACTCCGGTATCGATGGGAGGCACCGCAAAAGTTCAACGATACCATCACTTTTCCACGGACCTGACTAATTACAATCTATATTAGACTGAATTTGTGATCTGCTTCTTGAATTCTATTTTTCTGTTTTATGTTTTTAAAAAATATTTTTAGGAGAAGTTGTTGTCTGTCCACTGTACCTTTAAAATTTTTCCACTGTACCATACTAGTTGGTACAGTGACCAAAACACAATTTTTTTTTCGAAAATTTTTTTCTTGAATTGTACAAAACTTTTTGGGTAAAAGTGGTAATACTTGCATTTCTATATCAATGACACTCTCTACAAGCTAATTTGGAGGTGGTAAATATGCTCAGTTTAGAACTTATGCCAATTTATAAAAAAAAGGGTGGCCACTGTTGGCGGACCTTCCCTATATCGGTTAAGCCGTATAATATTGTGATATTCACTGACTGTATTACAAATACACCACTGCTCGTACCCAAGCTCATAAAACCTTTTCGAGAAAGGTCCACACAACGGCAGAGTGATCAAGTTGTACATTTGAATATAAAAACATGTTTTTAAATACTAGGAAATCGAACATTTATAAACAAAAATTTTAAATTACAAAAACAAAAATAAAGCAAGCAAAATAAATTCATTATTTGCGAAACTACACTCGTCTGAGTTCAAAGCGGTCAATCCACAGTATAGTAAATTTTTTCTACTACCCACTAACGAACATTAACAACATTTTAAAAATTCAGATTAAATAACTATTTTAATAATAATTTATTAATTATTTTTTATAAAACGAAATAAACTTGAAAAAATATTTTAATTAGTCTGCACCCTGGATTTTAAGCTCGAACTTTTGCATGGGAACTAAGTACTAATGAGATATCAAATATATATTTTTTATTACTGATAAAATTGGTTTTATATAGGTAGTATTATTAAAATTTGCCATTTATTTGTAAATATAGACAAATATTTTATAGAGAACTATTATTTATTTATTTATTTATTTATTTATTTATTTATTTATTTATTATTCCATTTAAACCAACAATTGTGTTCTTGAAAATTCCCAGGTTCAAGTAAATGACTCACAACAATTTTTTTTTATGTCAGGGCTCCGCAGTGACCACTAAACTTGTATATTAAACAAATGTATAGCATTAACTTCTATGGAAATAAATGACGTAAGAGGTTTGCAAATGTATTAGATTAGATTGCAGGAGTTGGACAAATCTATTGTGTAGAGTATTTCGTCTAGCTCGGTAGCCTTAGTAGCCTCTTAATCTAGCCTGTCCTTCACACTGGCACAATATATGAATTGATTTTTTTTTCTTCTTCACAGAACCAACAGTGTTGTTTCTTCTATTAGATTGATGATCCACTCAAGTACCGTCTTAGTTTATTATAACGCTTTACGCTTTTGGCTTTTAGGAATTGTGTTTAGTGGAACACGTTAAAACCATTTTAAAGGAGAGATGTCAAAATACTTGGGAAAAATTAAACAGACTGGAAGAAGTAAAGTTTTATTTAACATTCGACCTGGATGACAAAACTGAGGCCTACAATATTGATAAAACGCAACTGACCAAAGATAAAGATCATGCCACCGTTACTTTCAAAATTGACCCGCTTAGAATACCTAAAGGGTAAGACAAATTGTCATTTTAAATGAGTATTTTCCTGATATATGAAAAGCAGACTATAAACCATTTATAAAACTAAAAAATATATAGATGTAGAATATGTTTCATTGCCTTGTTGCTAACAGATCATTAAATAAATGATTAATTTATTATTGAAAAACAGTACGACCTTAAAACTTATGCATTGCAAATTAGTTTCATTCACCAGATCTGAATTTTAAACAACGCCCACTTCAAAAACCAAAACCGAACAATGTAATGCAAAATTCATGAAATCATGTTTTTAAATTAAAAACAAAATGAGTAATTTCAATTACAATACGGTTTATTTATTTTTTTTACTACTGCTTTCTACCTACAAAGTATATGTATACGTAGATAAGAGAAAATACGGAATCACTTATATTATTGCTTATTTCTATTTAATAAATTATGTCAATATTTTTACAGGAAATGAATCAAAAGAAACCTTTTAATGTGTTTACTTTATGATTAACCACTAATATTGACACTTATTTATAAATTATGAAGGGTATTTTTCAGCTTTATAATAACCAATAGTTTTTTATCATTATAAATAATAAATATATTTAAAAATTTACAATTTCTAGATATAATCAAGCCAATATACAAGTCAGGATCTAATTTAAATTGGGAAATTATCGGCGCATATCCTTATCAAAAATTACAAAAAAAAACATTTTAATAAACCAGGGTTATTCATTTTTTAAATAAATTCCAGATTTTTTGAAACAATCAATACGGCATTAGAGATACAGATCACTGCACTCCTCTGCTTAGAATTACAAAAACAAAAATTTATATACAAAAAAGGGAACCAAACTTTATTAATGCTAACCACATTTATAACATTTTATAGAATATTAAATGGGATTCTGTTTACTCTCTTAATGCAAATGCTGCTAATGATAAATTTGTATCAAAGGCCATCAACAAACGTCAGCTTCGAAGAAAATACACTAAAATAGCCCTATGGATTACTGACTCCTTGTTAAAATGTATAATTGAAATAGTATATTATGACACTAATGCAAAATCGAGCCTTTAAAGCATTAGCAACGAGTTTAAGGTCACGTCGCGCAGCGAATGCTTTAAAGGCTATTATGCATTGTGTCATACGATATTTTTTAGTATGAATGCGTAATTAAAATAGTAATTCGAGAGACGCTAAAATGCTGGTTCCCATCTTATCGAGAGTGAGACCCATAAGGGTAAACTCGTAGCGTAACAAGAACGAGAAATGATTTAACTTGGAACGAAAGACTAAAAGCCGATAATAGTATTAAGACGTTGAATTTTTTGGTTTGTGAAGCATTGGCTTTACTTAGGTTAAACCATGTGATTATTTTCACAAGCCTTGATTTTTAAAACCATTCTATATCGCCTTTTGATTAGGGTTTAAAAACTTAAATTTATCTAATAATAATTGACCCCTTTACCTCTTAAGCCTGCTCATGTAAAATATTTGAGCTCCTTACTTCGCCTATTTATATTCTATTAATAAAGGACAGAAGGATGAGTATTGTAACTATGTTAAAAGAAATAAATTGGCTTTCAGTTCAGAATTAAGTTCAGTGCATGACTGATATTTATTTATAAAATAAAAATGACATACAAGAAGCCAATCTGACTTTCATGTACGGCAAGCCATCACTAAAAGTTTCCAAATTACAATTTTTATTAAAGGTTTAAAAAATTTAATAGACTGCATACAGAAATTAAACAAAAAACAACAATAAATGTATTCAAAAGTAACCTCAAACAATACTTGATAAATAAACAGAACGGCTTAATTTATTGTTATTTTACCCCTCTGTTTACCCGCATTTATTATAAATTATTTCTGTTTTGAGATCATTTACTTTCTTTCAAAAAATTACTAGGTTATATTAATACTACTTACTATGTTTAAATTATTAATAGTTTTGCAACGATAGGTTATAGCAACTTATAGCCACAAAACTATTTTTGTGTTAAAGTAGATCCACAGAGAGCAATGTAATTTACAAAGGCCTTCTTTCAATATACAAATAAATGACAACTTTATAATTAAAATGAAAAACACAACAAAATACCTCGGTTATCATAATTGATCAAAATTTGAAATGGGTTGATCACATTACGTCATTAAAATCCCAAGGTATAAGAAGATTCATTTTTAAATTTTATGAATTGAGGTAATTTATAACTAAATATTATTTACAATTTGCTGGTTTAATCTATTTTGCGATATGGTATAATGTAGACTATATGATATGCAGTCTAATCCAAAATCGTATAATTAAAATTATCTACAAAAAACCAGCATTATATCCTACCTCTCTTTTATATAATAAAAAAGTGCTTTGTATAAGAACATTATATTATCTGTCTTGCTGTACCTTTATTTATGGAAAGCCTGAATTGAAATACACTACAAATTATTTGCAATAAATATCAAAAGAAGCATGCATTTTTAAAAATTTTACATTTAAGAGCAATTCACACATCACAGTTGACATCTTGATACTTGACAGGCATTATTCTGATTTTTGCCAAATAAAATGGCCGTAATTATTCTATGGGGTTGCGACAGAGAGCCAGTAAATTTGAAGAAGGTGTTTTTGTTGCTAGGGGCAAAATAGTAGTACGCTTAAGTTAGCACCACCATAAAAAAGTAATTTTTAAGAAATACTGCTTATATATTTTTCATAAATTGGCAGGCTTGGCGACTAATTTCGAATAAAAATAGCCTCCAAAATGGCTATGGTTGCAAGTATGAAGGTCGCCTGTATTATCAACAGCTGTTGTTTGACAGGTCGTTAGAGAATGTTTACAATTTATGGAATGTTAAGAATGTTAGGAATGTTAGACGTTAAAAATGATTGGAATTCCTGAAATTGTCACATAAGAAATGCAAAGGCGTATTTTAAGGAAATTGATATTAATATAGTTGAAAATGAACCGAAAATTCTGAAAATCAAATTCTAAGTTAGAAGTAATTATTCAAGAAAATCAAAACCGCAAGTCAATCAGAACTTTCGTTCCAGAGTTATCGTGCCGGCATACATACACACAGACTCTATTGATTCGACGACTTTCCGAGGTACCTCAAACAAAATCCAAACTGAATTAATTAAATGCACTGCCGACGTTGTGATGGATCACATTAAAAGTGAAACTAAAAAAGCACCTTTCGTATCAATTGCCCTTGATAAAACCACAGATGTAGCAAACTTAAGTCAATTATCCATTGTTGTGCGATATGTATTGGATGGCATTCCCCAAGAGCGATTCTTAGGATTTTTGGACGTCACTATCGAACGAACTGCAGATGCATTGTTTAAAATTGTTTGTGACATTATTTCAAGTTTAGAATGTGGTTCTAAGCTTGTTGCCCAGAGCTACGATGGTGCTGCCGTAATGGCTGGCCATTTAGGAGGCCGTCAAGCTAAAGTGAAAGAGAAGTTTAAATATGCAATTTTCGTTCACTGTATAGCACATAGACTTAATTTGGTTTTATTGCGAAGCATGGATAATATTAAAGATTGCAAAGTTTTCTTTTCGACACTTAGTGGTTTGGCTTCCTTCTATTCAAAGTCATCGAAAAGAACTCGCGCTTTGGACATTCACGTTCAAAAAAGGTTTCCAAAAGTTGCTCCGACGCGATGGAACTACAATAGACGTTTAGTGCAAACAGTGTTTCAATACCGTGATTTTTTGATACAATTTTTTCAAGACGTTTGGAATAATAAAGAAATATGGGATTCTGAAACTGTTACTGTCGCTAAAGGGTTTTTGCATTGGCTCAACATTTTTGCAGAGATTTTCCTTTTTACTGACATTTTATTCGACATTTTACAGACAAAGTCAAATGACATTGGCTTTTGCATTAATCAAATTAATGATTTTGAAAATAAAATTAACAGAAAACGAGATCAATTTGAACACTTTTGGAATAAGACTCAAAACATTAGCTTAGAACCTGAAAGAAAGAGAATTAGAATTGATAATATCGGCGACAGAGAGACATCCTATCGTCGATTATACGCCGAAATGTTTGATAATATTTTACAACAAATGAAGTCTCGATTTCAAAAATATAACGAATTAAAATTTGTTGAATTGTGCAATTTTAATATTAGTAACTACGATTCATCAAAATTTCCATCGGAAGCTTTTATTTCACTAAAATTAAAATATGGAATTTTTTTTCGATATTCCAGCATTAAAATCCCAGTTAAGTGTTGTTTATGAAACAACTGAAATTAGTGATAAAAAGACACCCATCAATGTGTTAAATTTTCTTATACCAACTGGTTTAAATAAGTCCCTTTGTGAAGTCGTCAAGTTGTGTGAATTAGTACTAATCATCCCAGCCACAAGTGCGTCAGTTGAGCGAAGTTTTTCAGCTTTAAGGCGCATTAAAAGTTTTATACGAAATTCAACAAGTGAAGACGGACTCTCTAATTTAGCCCTAATATCCATTGAAAAACAGCTTGTTAAACAGTTAGAAAATCCAAAATTTTACGACGATGTTATAGACAAATTTGCTGCCATTGAGGATAGACGAATAGATCTTAAGTATAAATAAATGTCAACTGCTGTGTCAACTGTGCGAAAAATGCTGGAAAAAATAAAAAAAAACCTTCAGTTAAATGTTTTTTTACGTTTAAATAAACCAAGAAAGCTTTTCAATGATAAGTTTTTTTATAGCTTCTAGTACTAAACTAGGTAATAAAAATAAAGTTATAGTAACACTTGAAAAATCTCAATCTCGAATATCCGTAGTACAGAGGAAAAAAAAAGCAAGATTTTGACAAAATGGTGAATGCGCCGCGAAAACTTTTCGCCTGCGGTGCTGTGCTTACTGGCCTGCTTTATTTTTATACAATCGCTTCCCCTTCCAAAAATGTCACCGCACGCCACTGCTTATTACATATAATATGAATAATAAGAATTGATAGTCAAACCGTTTTGTATAAAGACACGAATCAAACTAA